TGAAACAAAATAAAGTTATTTTTGTTAAAAAAAAACAAATACACAACAAGTTGGAACCAGTTTTTACTAAATCAACCCATGTTTTTTTTTTTTAAAAAAAAAACCTGGTATAGTTTTAAAACTATTAATGAAATACAAAAAAAGTGAGCGTACCGACGGTGTAGTTATGAGCAACAAATTATTAAAAACCAGCAGTTACTAGGTTTTGGATTTTGCGAAAGAGTGCTATCGAGATAACGCCGGGCTCCCTTCGTGTTTCGAAGGGCACCCTCGAGAATGAATTAATCAAACGGTCCCTCCTTCCCAAGATGTGGATGGCTCAACCACTATCGTCCGTTATTGCTTTTTTTTTTTTTCCATGACCATTGACTTGGATGCCAATGCCATTAGTTTAAGGACTCCATCGACCCTGTCGGGCATGATTGACGCCAGCTGCCTTCTTGTTGATGGCCCTCAGCTTTATCTACGGATTTGAACTTTTCTCAAGGAATCGCAGCTTTCATATGGAAGACTCCCCAGTCAAATATCTTTCCGAAGCTAAGAAAAACCCACCTTGTTAATTTTAGCTTTTAGGAAGCAAAACCTAACACAGTTGTTGAGGATTAAAATGACAAAGGTAACACTTTTATACAAACTTGCTTCACTTGACAACACATAGCTAGAGAGGTGCCACGTAAGTCTATTAATGAAAAGGATCACCGTCCCTTTTCTGTGTTTTGTTCGAGTCCATGAACAAGAGAGAAAAAAAAATATTCGAATCCACAAGTAAAAGATTACTGTCTCTGAATGACAATTCTTATTTAATAAAATCCAAAGTGTTTTCCAACGAAAAGGGCAGCTTGTATTTAGAAGCTGTAAATCTTAATCCTAATAATAAAAGTACTTATTAATTTAAATAGCAAAAGAGTTAAAGTCTTACTTTAAATATGTAATTCAAGGTTATGATTTCTAAGCAAATAATATTAGTCTGCAGGGAATCTTAATAGGAGGAATCCATGTGAAATAAGGAAAAGAGTAACAGGGGAGAATACGCTGCTTCCTCTAGTGTTATGTTTCCTTGTAGAAGTAGGATTCCAGTTGGCTTGGAATTTATTCATTAATCTGTCCTACATCAGTCTCCCCTGCTTGAAATGAACTCGCCCTCGAGTTGATCAGGTGAGAAAGACATTCATCGAGAGGATGGTATTCAAATATGTCAGCAATATTGAAGGTGGGAGATATGGTCATGTCTTTAGGGAGGTCCACCACATATGCATTATCATTAATCTTCTACAGAATCTGGAAAGGACCATGCTTCTTATCGTTCAACTTGTTATACGTCCTTGCTGGCACTCGCCCTTTGCGTAGATACACCATCACGAGATCTCCTACCTGAAAATCTTTAGCTCGCCGCTTGCGATCTGCTGCGGCCTTGTACCTGGCATTAGATTTTTCTAGGTTCGTCCGCACCTCCCCCTGAATAGCTTTGATTCGATCAGCCATATGCTCTGCTGCGATGCTCATACCAGGAAGTTTGGGCAGCGGTGCCAAGTCTAGTGCATGTTGTGGAGGTTGGCAGTAGACAATTTGGAAGGGGGGTTTTCCAGAGGACCTGTTTATCATGCTGTTATAGGCAAACTTAGCCTGTGCCAATGTTAGATCCCATTGCTTAGGCTTCTCACCATAAAGACAACGGATTAAATTTCCAAGAGTTCGATTCACCATTTCCGTTTGGCCATCACTTTGAGGGTGGCTGGTGCTGCTAAAGTTCAGAGATGTGTCAAATTGCCGCCATAAGGTTCTCCAGAAATGACTTAAAAATTTTGTGTCCCGATCAGAAGTGATTGATTTAGGGACTCCGTGTAGGCGAATGATCTCTTTGAAGAACAAGTTAGCGACATGCACGGCATCAAAAGTTTTTTTGCATGCGATAAAATGGGCCATTTTAGAGTATTTATCCACTACTACAAAGACAGAATCAACACCACACTGGGTTTGTGGAAGTCCCAGGATGAAGTATCGATATGTCTTCCCAAGAGGCTACTGGAATAGGCAGTCGCATATATAGACCTGTATTCTATGATTGTCCTTTGGCTACCTGGCATGTAGGGCAGCGTTTGACATGGTTTCTAATGTCTCTCTTTAGTTGGGGCCAGTAATATCTTTCCTCTGCCAAGGCCACGGTTTTATCACGCCCTAAATGACCACCCAAACTGCCACCATGTAATTCATATATAACTTGTTCTCACAATGAACTCCTGGGAATACACAGCTGGTTGCCCCGAAATAAATACCCTTCTTGAATATGCATTCCCTTGTGAGGGAACCCCTGTAGACATTGTGCCCAGCTATTTCCAAAGTCTTCATCTTCAGCATACAACTCTTTAAGATAGTCAAAACCAATAATTTCAGCCCGCATGGTTAGAAGTAATGCTACTCTTCTGCTCAGAGCGTTAGCTACTTTATTAAGTTGCTCGACCTTATGTTTCAAGGAAAAAGTGAACCGTTGTATGAAGGACACCTAGTGTGCATGCATTTGATTCACACTATTCTGGCTATTGATGAATTGTAGTGCATGATGATCGCTGAATAGGATGAACTCTCTTTGCACTAGGTAATGCTCCCAAACCTTTAAAGCCCGAAACACAGCATATAGTTCAAGTTCATATGTAGACCATTTCTGGCGAGTTGCATTAAGTTTTTTGCTATAGAATGCAATGGGTCTACCTTCCTGTGATAGGACAGCGCCAATGCCCATAATAGACGCGTCACACTCCACTTTAAATAATTTGTTGAAATTTGGTAGTGCTAAGATTGGAGTAGAAGATAATTTTTCTTTAATCAGTGCGAAGCTTTGTTCTGCCTCGGTTCCCTAATGGAATTTTCCCTTTTTCATGCATTCAGTGATTGGTGCAACGATTCAGCTAAAATTTCTGACAAATCGCCGGTAAAACGTTGCAAGTCCATGGAAGCTACGCACCTCGCTGACATTCTTTGGTGTAGGCCAATCTCGGATGGCTCAAATCTTTTCTTCATCGACTTTAATTCCATCAATGCTCACCACAAAACCCAAAAATAATAAATTGGTGGTCATGAATTTGCACTTTGTCAAGTTAACATACAATTTATTCTGCTGCAATACCATCAGTACTTTCCTTAAGTGTTCAAAGTGGTCAAACTCACTTTGGCTGTAAATCAATATATCATCAAAGTACACCACCGTAAATTTGCCAGTGAAGGGTTTAAGTACCTAATTCATTAGTCGTATAAAGGTACTCGGGGCATTGGTTAGTCCAAAGGGCATTCCCAACCATTCGTATAAACCCTCCTTTGTTTTAAAAGCAGTTTTCCACTCATCCCCTGGTCGAATTCGAATCTGATGGTATCCACTTCTTAAGTCAATCTTTGAAAAGATTTTGGACCTTGACAGCATGTCTAGCATATCCTTCAGGCGAGGGATAGGAAATCGATACTTAACTGTGATTTTGTTAATGGCCCTACTGTCTATGCACATGCGCCAACTGCCATCTTTCTTTGGTACTAGTAAGGCTGGTACTGCACAAGGGCTCATACTTTCCTGAACCAGCCCCTTTCTGATCAAATCTTCCACTTGTTCATGCAGGATCTGATTTTCTTTTGGACTCATCCGATAGTGTGGTCGATTTGGTAGACTAGCCCCTGGAGTTAAATCGATCTGGTGTTGAATATCGCACATGAGAGGTAACCCATCCGGGAGTTCTGACGATATGATTTCCTGAAATTCTGCTAGCAAGGGTTGCAGTACCTGTGGGATGTTGGGAGGCTCGACCCCAATTCCTCCTCCAATTACTACTGCAAAAATCTCCCTTGACTCCTTGGCTTCCTCCATAAATTGGTTTTCATTTACCAACAACACTGGCTTCCCTTTAATCTTTGGTTTTACTGCAGAGAACTCCTCTCGTATGGAACCCAATACCACCTTCTGTCCTCCTGTTATGAAGACATACACATTATCACGTCCTTTATAGGTGGCATCCATGTCAAACTGCCATGGCCTGCCTAAAATCATATGGCAGGCATCCATCTCAACAACATCACAAGTAATTTCATCTAGATAATTCTTCCCGATGGAGAACTTAATGCAGCAGATTTCAGTGACTTGTGCTTCTGCTCTCTACTTGATCCAACCGATTTTATACGGTGATGGATGTTTTTCTGTTTTTAATCCTAGCTTGGCCATCATGTTTTTAGATACTATATTTTCACTACTGCCGCTATCAATAATAACATCACATACCTTTCGGTTGACAGTACATCTAGTGCGAAATATGTTGTGGCGTTGCGACTGATCTGTTTGTTTTGGTGCCAGCAAAAGCCTGCGTACTACAAGAGAACATGATAGTAGTTCTCCATCATCCCCTCTGATAATTTCATTCTCATCATAGGTGTAAGTTATTTCATCCCCTTCTTCCTCTCCTGCCATGTACGTTTCTTCCCCTGGTTCAATTAGATTTATTGTGCTACACCTCGGACACTGATTTGACCGATGCCCTAGTTGCCCGCATCTGTAGCACTTGTCTGAATTTGGTCGAGCATAAGGATTCCTTGGTGCCTCTGGAGGCACTATCCCTGTAGTCTTTGCTGGGGCTCCGCTGCTACCTGACCCTTTAATGGTACTAGATGGTGGGGGTTGATTTATGGGTGATTTCCCTTTGTCTGCTGCAGCACGGGTGGGATCAAAAGAATTTCTCATCACAATGTTTGCCCTTGACCTGTCTAGTTGTGCTTTCGCTTTTGTAGCCAAACTAATGGCTTCATTTAAGGAATAAATGGTCCGCATGGAAACACGATCTTGTATGGTCAATCGCAGCCCACTAACAAACCTACTGACTTGTTGTGCATCCTTTTCTAACAGGTTATTACGTGAGGATAATCTATGGAATTCTTCGATATAGGCTTGCACCGTTCTATTTCCTTGTCTACAGTCCTGGTACTGTTGAAACAGTATTTGTTCATAATCAGGTGGTAAGTACCTGGCTCGTAAAAGTCGCCTCATTTTTGTCCATGTTTATACCAATCCTTTCCTCTGTCGCATCCGTGTGAGTTGCACCTGCTCTCACCAGGCAGAGGCTCCTCCCATTAGTCGATAAGCAACTAATTTTACCTTTTTATCTTCAGGGATTTCCATGTAATCAAAGAACCTCTCCACTACTGCCAGCCAATCAAGAAACCCCTCAATTTGCAGTTGACCATTAAAACTGGGCAAATCCATTTTCATACGAAATGTTTGTGGTTCTCGCTCTCCCATATTGCACAGTCCTTGTCGATTGTGTCGAAACATGTGTTCAACATAATCCTCATCATCACTTAGTTCATCCTCGTAGGCTAACTGCCTACGTGGAATCGGATGGCAAACACGTGTTCTTTCTCTATAATTCTCGCGACCTGCCTCACCTTGCTGCAGGTTGTTTCCTGTTGTCAGTCTAGCAAGAGTCGTTTGAATTGCTTGTAATGCTTGCTGGGTTTCTCACTGGAAAATCCTGAATTCAGCTTGTGTGATCATGCCCTCTTCATGTTTATCATCATCAAGGGCTTCGTTTTCGTTTCGGGTGTTTGCCATTTGAACAAGTTAAACCTGCTCTGATACCAACTGACGTAGCGGAAGTCTATTAATGAAAAGGATCACCGTCCCTTTTCTGTGTTTTGTTCGAGTCCACGAACAAGAGAGAGAAAAAAAAACACTCGAATCCACGAGTAAAAGATTACTGCCTCTGAATGACAATTCTTATTCAATAAAATCCAAAGTGTCTTCCAACGAAAAGGGCAGCTTGTATTTATAAGCTGCAAATCCTAATCCTAATAATAAAAGTACTTATTAATTTAAATAGCAAAAGAGTTAAAGTCCTACTTTAAATATGTAATTCAAGGTTATGATTTCTAAGCAAATAATATTAGTCTACAGGGAATCTTCAATTGGAGGAATTCATGTGAAATAAGGAAAAGAGTAACAGGGGAGAATACGTTGCTTCCTCTGGTGTTATGTTTCCTTGTAGAAGTAGGATTCCAGTTGGCCTGGAATTTATTCATTAATCTTTCCTACATCAACAGTACAAGAGACCAGAGAAAGAAACGTGAACCAAGCTGCAGTAACAGTGTTCCAAGCTCCTGCATGCACTAGCATTCTATTCATAATACCATCTGGTGTGAGTGTGTATCATCCCTTGTATAGCTTACTACTGATGACGAACGTATGAAATCTGGGTTCTTCTTTATTAAATCCATGGATTCAGGATGTTTATGTAATTTACACATATCCTCTGTGGCAAGCACATTAACTATCGTATCTTTGTACAGACACTCTTATAGATTTTATGTTGCATAAACTACTTTGAACTCCTAGGGTAAACGGACTCGCCCTTGGGTGATCTTCTCCGTTGTGTAAATAAACTTCATCCTCTTTAAGCTTTGCTACACAAACACACACAGGAAAACCTCCTCGGGTTCCTTTTCCACGCCATCAGTTTTAACTTAAACATTGGAGGGTTTTCATGAACCACGGGAAATCATAAAAAATCTAAAAGACAACACATACACAACTGTGGTTAATATTGAATTAATAATTGAGAAGTATAGGTAAAAATAAAGTTTGAGAATTTTTGAATCATAATTGATGGTTGAATTGAAGAAAAGGCTTACATTGATTTATTTTAGCTAAGACTGAAAGTAAATGGAAGTTCAAGAAATAAATAGCCAAGTTTGAAAATCAATTAAGAGCCTAATTAAAAAAGTAATTTGAAATTAATTAGGAGTCAATTTGGTTTAAAAATGAAAATTAGAAGAACCAAGGACTAAAATGAGAGAAATGAAGAAACCAAAGAACATATATAATTCATTCAAGGGTGAAATTGAAAGAAATTAGAAAAAAAAAACTTGACCTTTTGCAACTATTTTGGCCATAACTAAAGTTTCAAAATGAATTTTAATACAATTCTAGTTTTATTGGAAAGTAGATATCCAAACCTTTCTAGTTCATATAGTAGACCTTTTAATTCACTAATACGAGGGAGAACTATTCATTTGAAGTTAGGCTTCAATTATGCCAGCAAATTATAAAATTTAATTTTGAGTTTATTTTAATTAGCTGGACTATTATTTATGTTTTAGTTTATTATAGGTCCTATGACATTTAATGGTTATTTGTGTTAGGTTTTATTTTTTCATTTTAGTTATTTTGGGTTTTTAATGTGTTAAGACTTATTTACCAAGTTTGGGTCCAATAAGTCAAATTTAGGATTAGTTTTCTACTATATCAACCAAATGTTAATATTATTTTGAGGTTGATGAATTTTATTTACAAGTTGATGCATATTGTGTGTTTATTTCTCTTTTAGTGGTTGAGTGATTCTCATACTAAGTTTTTGATTGAATTTGCAAATATTTTGAAAGATTGATCAACTTTATTGTGACTTATACTTTTCGTTCGTGTGTGTTATAAGTGTAGGGTGGGGGGGATCAACTACATATAACTTTGATTTTTTAAGATAAGATTCTTATAAGGTGAAGTTACAAACTATTCTTTAAACCTCAAATTAGCAGTCTAAGGGACCATACTACATTAGGTTTTGATCAACTAAGCTAACAAGTTCATTTCTATTTAACAAATTTTAACTAGAGAGAAGATTGTTGTAGAAAAAACAAGTTGGTTCGTTTTGAAAACCATATGTTACCACATCCAGGTGGAAATACCTAGTTCTATGCAATTAGAGTGAGGGAGAATATTTAGAACTTGCTAGAAGATCAAACAGTAACAAAAGATGAGTTTTTGATATTTTGGTTAGCTTCGAGATTACATTAATATAACAAATGAATATTCGGGTTAGAAAACATGGAATGATATAGTTTAGTGATGGAAAATGATGTAATAAATTAAATCATTATTGAGCAATAAAGTATTTAGGAATCGTTTTCTTATTGATGGTAACCTTCTTAATTTTTCCCTTATTGGTTGAAGTTCTTAATTTTTCCCTTATTGCATTAAAATGAGCAAACAATCCATTTGCATAATTATTCCAACTTTTTATATTTATAAACACATTGTCTACCTTTTGCTTGCATAATAAGAATAAAACAAAAAAAAATTAGATCAAAATATAAGTCCTCTACAACACTTAACCATCAATACTCACATTTAAAAAAGGATGATGGAAAACAAAGAAAAAACTCAATTGGAAGCTCAGTAGTAAAAGGAGATAAAAAGCATGAAAGGTGATATTGCAAGGATCACTAGCCTACTCGAACAAGCATTGAGGTCTAACTCTAAGGAAGGACCCTTTGCTTACCCAAAGTTGCTGTATAATTTGCAATTCTATAAGGTATTAGTACACTTGAACCCTAATTTATGACCCACTTTTCCTTTACCCAACCGATATAAGAGTACCACTTATTGTGGACTTAACTGCTGAGGAAACTCATAAAGAAAAAAAAAGTAGGGGATAAAGATAATTATGATAAGCTCATTGCCTTAGAAGAAAAGATGAGAACAAATGAAGGGGTTAATCTATACAACCCTATAAGAGCCATTAAGATGTGTTTGATTCCTAATATAATAATGTTGAAAGAATTTAGAGTGCCAACATTTATAAAATATATTAATAGTCAATACCCAACAACCCATCAGAAGGTATATTACAATAAGATGATGGAAGTGGTAAGCGATGAAAAGTTATTGATTCATTTCTTTCAAGACAGTTTTAGTGGCATTATACTAACTTGGTACATGAGGTTAGATAACATTAAGATTAGAAGGTGGAAAGACTTGGTAGAGGCTTTTATGAAACAATATAATCTCAACATGGATATCACCTCAAATAGATCCACCTTTCTGGTTTTAGAGAAAGGAAGGAATATGTCCATAAATATGTTTAGAGATGGCATGAGAAGGCCGATTAAGTGAACTTGTCATAATTAGAAAAGGAGATGACTAATTTGTTCTCTAACACCTTTAAAACCCTTTATTTCAAGCAACTTTTAGGAACCATCACTGAACATTTTACTGACATTGTAATTGTAGCTAAGAGAATAGAACAAGCTATGAGAGCTAGTATAATTATTGACCTTTCAGATAAAAAGATTTCACTAAAAGAAAAAAGAATATTGAAGTAAACGATGTTGAAGGGGGAGGATACAAAGGGAAGGGGTATCAAAATACATACAATTATCAAACACCTACCCCACCTATAGCTAACATAAATTTCTCTATATTTTTTTCCTATAAACCAACCCAATCATTAAAATAACCATCCAACTAGCAACTAAAATAACGATCACCCATGAAATTTTTTTAAAAAAGACCAAGAACAATTGCCATCTCTAATTATACAACTCAAAGAAATGTAACAAAAACTTTTAAACATTGGTCAAATTACCTTTATTATATTAACCCATTGAAACCACTATTCCTAAATTGATACAAGTTAGATAAAACTTATAAATATGATGCTAATGTCATATAACATTTCATTAAAATTTGTGGTGTATTTAAAAGGAAAGTTCTTAAACTTGTTAAGGAAAATGGATCACTTTTAAGGAAACTCCTAATATGAACTCCAATTCACTTCCAAACCATGCCTTAAAAAATAAACGGGTCAATGTTTTGGAAGAAAAAAATAAATGAGAAGCAATCTTAAAGGTTATAATAAGTCATTACACATCACTATAAGGTTTAAAGAATGTATAATTTTCAAGGTTCTTATATATAATGGTTTCGTTTTAAATGTGTTACCAACATATATATTAGATAAGACACTAATAAATCTTTTTAAAATTTATGGTGTATTATAAGACCAAGTACCATGACTGTTAAAGCTTATGACAAATCACCTAAACATGTTATTAGGAACATTAAAATTAAGTTAGTCATCAACCCATAACAATTTCAAGTCATAAATATTCACCCTTCCTATAACATGTTGTTTGAAAGGCCATAGATTCATGCTACTGAAGTTGTAGCATCATATTTGCACCAAAGAGTAAAATTCATCATTAATGGAGGTCTGGTCACTGTAAAGGCTAGAGAGACATTATCAATGATAAAGAATGTGGTGTTCCTCACATTGAAACTAAAGACAACATCGATGGAAATCTATAAGATTTTGAGGTAGTGAACATTGAATACGTGCCTAAAAATACAATGTCGAGAAAACCTTGGATTTTAAAAATTGTCAAGATAGCCGTAAAATACCTTTTGAATCATGAGTCACCATTCCAATATAACCCAACTATGAGAATGTTTGAGAGAGTTAATATAATAAAAATGAAGTGAGCTGACCCATGATTTGGCTTAAGATTTAAGCCTACGAAGAAAGTCTATAAGAGGGCATACGAGATCAAGAGAGAAGGATGGCCAAAATAGGAGCGTGAGCTGAATGAAGAAATAATGGAAATTCCTACCCTACATGTAACCTTTTGATGACCCCTTTTTTTACTCTTTTATTTTATTTTATTTTATAAAAATAATAAAAAATAAAAAATAAAATAAATGAAGAATAAATTGAAATTTGGGTCAAGACAACATAAATTGAAAGTTTAGGGATTTATTTAAACTTGAAATTAGTTTAATTA